TATCAAATGATTAAGAGTTATCTTTGAACAGATATTGTCTCGTACTTACCCCAGATTAATAAAAAAAGTTAAAAAAAAATTGGTATAAATACATTATATATTTTCTTAGTTTTATTAATCTTTCACTTTAGTCCCTTATTAAAAAAATTAAGCGAATTTCATAAATTCTTTTCGATTTAATCCTTATTTAAAATCTTCTTTTTTATCTTAATTAATCCGACACTCCCTATTCACTATCTCCCTTCCTCTATCACCCTTGTTTCTCATCTATGATTATTATAATAATCATTTAAATTCGAGGTAAATCATCCTGTATTTTATCATAATTTCGTTTAAGCAAAATGAATAGAAATTGCAGGGGGGAATGGTCACAATTGGTGAAAAATATCTCAATGCTTTAAAAGTAAAAAAAAATTAGCTGACCTTTATTTCCATATGTAATGGGGTAAGGGGGAGGTAGGATAGTAAGTTGCCCCCAACACCAGGTTAAGAGTAACTTCTGTGGGAGACCTCCGAATTATGAAATACCCTTCGTGAGACACGATCCCCCGACCTCAAAGTTAAAAGTAAAATATGTAAAATTAAGGGAATGATGGAGATGGGCTACTTTTGATGAGCCTTGCAAGTTAAGAAAACTCAAGCTAAGGTCCTTTTTGCTTGAAAAAAGTAGCTTGAAAAAGTAAAGGATTAATTACGGTCTTGGTCCTTTTATTCTTTTAAACTTCAAAATTTGATCCCTTTATTTGTCTGATTTTGAAATCAAAGTACAATCCATTATGTTGTTACTAGATTTCTCTTAAATTCAAATGTGTGGCATTTTAGTATTTAAAGGTTTGGTTCTAAATTTAAAATGCAATTGATAATACATATTAAAGTTTAGCAGAAATTGGATAATGATAAAATCGATTGAACTTTAATTTTTAAATCAGGGGATTAAATTTCAAAATTTTGAAAAGTTCAGGGACTGAGATGTAGTTTGAATAAAATGAAATGGTGAGCAATTTTAAAGGTAATGAAATTTTTATGGATAATTATCAAATTATGACTCATTTTATCTGATTTTTTTAATTTTATTTTTCACCGAATGAATTATATTACGAATTTTTTAGACCGAATCAAACGAATTTACATCACAGTCTCTAAACGTGGTGAATAATATTATTTGGATAAACTATACAAATGGTCTTTAATGTTTGAGCAAGTTTTTGTTTTTTCACTTAAGTTTCAAAAGTAACAAATTGATCATTAACGTTATCAATTATAATAAATCAGTCACTCACTATTAACAATCATTACTGGAGTAACAAAATATTGACATGACATGTTAAACCAATTGACTTAACAATCATTATTGCAATAACAGAATGCTGAAATGACACGTTAAACTAATTGACTTAGCATGTTTGACCATGTAGAACCAAACTACTTAAGAAGAAGAAGAACAAGAACAAGAAGATTATTGCAGCAACAGAATGCTGACATGACACGTTAAATCAGTTGATTTAACAACCATTACTGCAGTAATAGAATGTTGAAATGGCACGTTAAACTAATTGACTTAGCATGTTTTACCATGTGGGACCAAACTACTTAAGAAGAAGAAGAAGAAGAGTCAACATGTCAGTCAAAGGTTGGTCACGTGATAAGTCAAAAGATCGGTCAAAGGGTGGTCAAACATGCTAAGTTAGCTAGTTTAACGTGTCACGTCAGTATTCTGTTACTGCAGTAATGCGGATAACGAATTTGTTATAAATCGATAAAATTAGTGATCAATTCATTACTTTTGAAGCTTCAGCGGAAAAAAACTTACTCAAACATTAGTGACTATTTATGTAGTTTACCCTCTTTTTTTACACCCTGCAGACTGACCATTGTTCCTCAAGAGATCAAACAGCAATGTCAGTTTGGTTGAGTAGTCATTTACAAGAGAGTGAACCCTTAACCATGCATGAACAGCTTCTCTTTGGCTATTTTTGCATTTATGCTTTCCTTGCATTTACTTAGTATTTCATCAACCTTTGTCCTTTGCCCAACTCCAATAATTCTCTCCTTCTTCCTGGTCCGTTTGCATCCTTAATCTGCTATTTTTCATTTTTTTTTCTGGGTTTGTTCAATATATATATTCATCTTAACGCTGTAAATGTTACATTTGATCCTTAATAAACTGCAAATCTGTTGTGATGATCGTTTTCTCTTGATTAATCTGTTCCTGCAGGTTTATTTCATCAATTCCCAAACTGTAGAATTCTGAATCTTCATTGATGGGTTCAGAGATCTGGCTTAGATCATTCATTTGTTTGAAGAAACCAAAGTCAAGAAGGTCCAAACAAGCAGAGGTAGTATATTTATGTATGTATTCGATAATTACGACAACATATTCGTATCAGACACATACTTATATTTGATATTCGTACCCGAATTTAAGAATGTTCATCTCTAATTTGCTCTCAGGCCCCATCAATTCAGGTAGACTAGACTAATGAGAAGTCAAATGGTGATGGAAGGATAGATCATGAGGGTCCTGAAGAGGGGAGGAGTCCTGCAACGACCCGTGGTTCGCAAAGCAGTCCCAGAAATGCAGTTGAACATATCGCCGCTGCTCGAATTCAGAAGGCTTTTCGGGATCACAGGGTATTTTAACTCATTGTCGATGCTATATTACATACATTCGAGCCTTGAGTGACATGGTTTACGATTTTTCTTTTTCCAGGCAAGAAAAACTGTTCGCCGGGTGAGAGATACCGGGAGATTCAACATATTGATACAGGGACATACAGTGAAAAAATAAACAAGCACACTGAGGTATTTACATTCTTGGTGCAATGTCCAGTCCCAAATCCGAGCTCGAAGAATATGTACGGTTACAGAAGGTAGGCTTAAGAAAAAGAGATTGGAAAACCAGATGAAACTCGAGGCCAAACTCCATGACCTGGAGGTAACAACAAATCTTAACTTCCGATCTACGAAGAAACTAAAACTGGATTCCATCTTTTTACACTAATGGAGAGTTAGGCCTTTTGGAATAATAATTAATGGAGGGTAGCAGCTTTGTTAGCTTTCAAAGCCAATAACATCCGCTTGCCTATAATGCATCCCCTATATTTTGTTTGGCAAGCAAGAAAATGAGAAACCGGTACCCCATGAAACTAGTAGAATTCTTGGCTGTTGCAGGTAGAAAGGTGTGGCGGCTCGGAAACTATGGAGGAGATTATTAACAGGATTCAACAGAGAGAAGAAGCAGCGGTCAAACGCGAACGAACCATGGCTTATGCCTTCCCTCATCAGGTCAAAAACTTCGGGTTTCATTCAATCATCTTTAACATTGTTTTCAAGACTGATTTGTATTGACTTTGCAGTGGAGAGCGAATGCGAGCCAATATCTAGGCCAAGCATCCTATGGTGTTGGCAAAGAAAACTGTGGTTGGAGCTGGATAGAGCGATGGATAGCAGCGAGGCCATGGGAAGTGAGGGTTCATTCTCAGCCTATTCACCTGAGGAAGACTCATGGCAGGCAGGCAAGCAAATCTGACAAAGATATTGAAAATCCGGCATCGACTGAACCTAGTTTGCCAAATGAGAAAGTTGCTTCGAAAGTCAAAACAGGGCCACAACCGACGGTTGAAATCAGAAAGATTCACGAAAGCTACCTTTAGCTATTCTGAGTGATGATTCAATACAATTTTCTCTAGTACTTTTTGTGTGGATTTCCAACTCATTGTATACACAATAACAAGTTTCTGTTGCATCGAGAAATCCGAGGATAAAACACTAAGGCTACCATATCGACCGGATTAAACACGGATTCAAAATCTCTGTTTTCAGAGATTATATAAGTAAAAATCATGAACTTAAAATTTCCTTGATGCTATCTGGAACACAACTATATGTACATTACTTTCTAAGGAACCAAACAACACATTAAGTTAAAATGTCCAAAAAAATTGCATATTTCGATATTCGAAACCTCCTAGATACCATGTCTTAAGAACAGCTAATCATGCAATATCATAGCAAATCCCCCAACAAGAACCTCTGCAACAATCCAACCACCCCTCCACCTCAAAATCTATATCTGGTATCATTTCGAACCATAAGCAAATACATACATGCATTATTGGTACCGTATTTTTAAGGTGATAAACAAAAATAAGAATTTCCAGCTAGACTCAAGGGGACCATTTACAGGCAAAATACCAAAAATTTTGGTGGTATCTAATAGCTATAGTGTATTCTACTATTCTATACCATAATTGAGCTTCTTTGTAAGTTCATACCTTCCACCGCAACTGCAGATGGTACTCCATTTATAGCCCCACTTGCTCTATATGCTAACATGCTCTCATTGATTGCTGTTATGTGACCTTGGGGTGTCCTACAACCTGGCCTCAATCCTAATGTATGCTTCGGGAGATTATTTCGGACTAAACTCATCGTTCCTACTAAAGCATCTAGTAGTTGAATTCTGCTAATTTCGGCAATTGCGATGTCTACTATGGTGATTGATTCATTGTTCTTTTGTTCAATTTGAACTCATAGAATGAGTTGGGCTTTTGATTACAAACTGAGGCATCTAAAACAGACCGATATTTAGTAAAGCAACGCTGAAAGTAAAGAGTTATAAGGGGAAGTTATACATTGTTTTCGGCCAGGTAGACACTGACGGTGGTAATCAGCTACCCTCTATTGACTCCAAAATTCCTACAGTATACAGAAAATGATTCCTCTTTCCTGTACCGTAAACGATAAAGCAACAAAACGAAACCACTAGCAGAGTTCTCTTTCATCCACATGAGAAATTGACTTCTAAAGAGAGGAAAAGACTCTGGACTGCTTCTCTAATTCTGTATCTGATCAAAGGGATATAGGACTCGGAAAGACTTTTTCCGATATTAGCCGATCAGGGGTTACCTTATTTCATGATAATTTTCGAAAGAATGAATATGCTATACCGAGTCAGTCCAATTTGAGGGAAGAATCAAATCAGAATGAAAACAAACCAATTTTGCATCCCAGTAGTAACACTAGGAAACAGTGGCAAACATTGCAAACAAATCGACTGGCAACATGAAACATAGTCCAACGGAAACCATTGTTAAGCTCTAAGAGCCCACTCGAATGTAAATTTAAGCTACAACTCAATCAGCTGATAAAAACTAAATAAAACCGGGATCGGAAAACCTGAAATCCACTCAGATTTCTCCTTCCCACTGCAATAGGCCATTGATTCTAAGCGACCAAAATCTTCCCTCGAACCGGTCTTTGACTCCTGAATCTATCACACTATCTCCTCATCGAGTTCACAGTCAACTGTCCTGGATCGAATATCAACCGGTGCAAAAGATCAATCACCTAAATGAGCAGAAAAGCTTTAAGGGCAATATATGGTATTGGAAACTATTTATGGAAATAGAAAGAAGGGTTAACCAGATAGAGGGGAAAGACTTTGGCTTTCTTTTGATTTACTTGATCAATGGTGAGAATCAGATGAAGCAGAGGACAGCTTATTGGCGATGCTGTCGTGCTCATCTTCTTCGCCCTGAATTCGTGCCGGAATGCGAAATCCTGAGAATACACCAGGTGTGGTGAATCCAATGCCAGATAGAGTAGCTTGATGATGGATGTTTTCTGGGATTTGATGATGGTCGGTTGTGGAAATTGGCTGGTCTATCCAAGCACGAACAAAGGGCGTGTTACTGGACTGAAGGGGTCCCCTCTGAGAAAACACTTGGCTGTTTTGGCCAAAAGGCGGCGGCAGCGGATGCGATGTAGGAGTGCCAAAGAGAAATCCTCCTACACCACCATTACCACCGCCACCAGCACCACCGTCAGTATCAGCAGCAGCGCCGTTATTATTCCAGGCAAACAATCTCTGGAACCTTCCAATCTCCCCCGGATGTTGGTGGTGATGCTCCCATCCAGCAGAAGATCCATCAAAACCAGCTAATGGGCTGATTCCAGAGAATAAAACAGGTTCACTGTGCTGTGCCTGAGCTGCTGCAGCAGCTTGTGCGTGGTGGTGATGCAAAAGAATCGGCTCCGGAAAAGACTGAAGCGAAAGCCGAAGATCCTGACTGTGGCTGCTGGTCCTCGACAACAAATCCAGTGGATAATTCTGAAACTGTATGGAAGAAGACTGAGCCTCACTTGAAGCTCCCAATGGAAAAAAAGACTTTATAGTATCAGCAATCTCATCAGAAACTAAAGCAGGTGGAAGAAAACCCGAATTATTATTCGGGTTATCTCCCATTTCTTGTTGCTGAAAATTTTGAACTTCATTCCCCATTATTGTCGCCGTTCTCCTCCGAGTACCCGACCCAGCAGCAAGGTTTTCCACCAGGTTTCCACCATGGTTGATGTGAATGGCGTTATGTTCTTCTTGGTTACTAGGTTTAGCAATTGTTGTATTGAAACTTTCTGGTTTCCAAGGAGGTAGCTCAGCGAGCTCGTCAATGGCGGGCTTGGCCTTTTTTATAAGCCAATCCACGGCTTTGCTAGGACGGTCGTAGCCAAGGCGGTCCTGTACGTCGTAGAACTGGATGGCGGTGTGAGCCGAGAGACGAACACGTCGGTCCCGAGGACCTTTAGCAGTGCAAACTTTGCTGTGACGGTCTTTCCTTCCGGTTGACCGAACAATGTGACCACCTTGGACCTCAACGATATCCCCTCCGGCGTGCCTTATCCCCAATCTTGACGATGTTGCAGCTTGGTGGTGGTTGTCCCCCATTTTTCTTGCATGTTGGGTCGACGGCAAGTACGAGCGCTTCTTCAATGGCGGTGGGCACTCTTGAGTTTCCAGGCTTGCATACAACTGTTGCCCCTCTTCTCGTTGCTGATGATGCCTTTGTGGATCCAGGCTCAGCTCCTTGTGCTTTCCCTCTTCCAGCTTTTAATGGAGGACACACCACCAGCTCCTCCACCAAGCCTCGCCGGAGACACTCTTAAAAACACCAGCTTTTTATATATCTCCAGCCTAACCCATCTTCCAAAACTCAGCTTTTGGCAAATTGGGTCTCCTCTTTTATCCGAACTATTCTACTCAGCAACCAAATTACAGAAATGGGTTAGCCACCAACTTGACCAGGACAACCCAACAACAAAAACAAAAGTTCTTCCCTTTCTCAACAAATATTTTCTCGATAAAATACGCTACAAACTAGAAAGTTTCCATTACAGCTACACTACCAGAACAAAAAGAGAGAAAAAGAAAGATTAAAGATCCCTCTGCTTCATCTCATCACTACCTTCTACTGCTGTTTATTGTACTATTACCCGAAACAAACACCATTTCAACCAAGCTAAAAATCCCACCTTTTTTCACTGTTTTACTTAATTATAAAATTATAACCTTTATCTTTTTCTTACTAACTATAGATAGATATGGTTTGATGCCACTTCCCTGTTGACAGATTGGAGTTCTTGTTTTCACTAAAACTTTCACCCTGGACGTGGTGAGAAAGTTACGAGCTTTTTAACAGTTCATAGTACAAGCTAATAACTGTTTAGATGCTTTGTTTTGATTATATCAGACTGAATGAATAGATCCTTTTTATATGCCAGAGTCACAACTTTTGACAGTGACCCAATTCACAGCTTTATTATTATTTTTATTGTTTTAACTTGGATAAATTACACTTATGATCACATAATTATACGAGAATCTAATATGATCATCGTACTTTTAATTTTATCAATAATAACTAATTTTATTAACTATCACGTCAATTTATATGTTAAATGCTAACATCGAGTAACTTGATTAACATTGTTTAAATAATTAATGATATTATTAAAAAAATTTAAAGATTAATGAACAAATTAAAATATTTCTATAATTAAATGAGCATGTGTTACCGTTTAGCATGGCATGTAGCATTCTTTTTTCTCCATTTATGTTTAGGAAGAAATTTTAACGAGACTCATGTCCTTATTTTTCAAAAACTCTATTTCCCTAACCGTACTCACATTGTTAATATTTTTTATTAATATGTGGTAAATACAATAAATATCTGTTCAAAGTTAACTCTCAACCTTTGACATTGAAGGTTCACACCATTGACATCTATGATGCTCGAACTCGGGTCCTCAAGTAATAATAACAATTTATTTATCATTGAGGTCACTTGGTTCGTATCATTGTTAATATATCTTTAATATACATTATTATTCACAACATTATTATTTAATAATTTCACACTAATTAAATTAAACAAATATTTAGTGAAATCTTCGATTAAGCACTAAGTCATTTTTTACTGTGTTTTTTAAAATTGGGAGCATCGAATCTTTCCAATTTTGGAGATCTTACGCCACTGTCAACATCGAGATGGATTAATTAATTTTAATTAATTATCTCCACGTGTAAATATTACCAAAAATAATAAGGTTGAAGGTAAACTCATAAATTAAATGTAATATTTCGGAGTTAGTCCTTCAATTTTAATTTATTAAAATAATGGTGCTTGTTACAAGTAAAGACAAGTTCTCGTATGAACATGTCTTATTTTTATTATCGGTCTGCCTATGAAATTTCACTAATCTATTTTATATAATTAAAAAAACAGTTGAAATTGTCACGGTTAAAAGTAGAGATGGACATGCGTATGGTTTTTGGTCTACCCGACCAGATAATAAAGAATTTTCCACCCGAGATCCAATCCAACCCGATTAAAATAAGATTTCACCAGACCCAAACTCGACCCGATATATAACTTAAAAACTCGACTCGACCCAAAATAATAATAAAAATATTATTTTTATTCAATAAAAGTAGTGATTTAATTGAAAAAAATAATATATAGAGGGATATTATTGTAATTATTTCTAAATATATAAGGTGAAATTATATATTTTCAGGTCGGGTCAATTCGGATATTTTTCACCCTAAACCCAAACCTGATATACCCAACCCAATCTAATTTTTTTTTTAAAAAAATCCGACTCGATCAGATCAAATCTAATCAAAACCCGTCGAATTCGAAACTCATACCCATCCCTAATTAAAAGGTGTAGTCCCTTTCACTTATTCGCGGCCCATTCATCTTTTACGAATGAAAGCGACTACACTGTATCAATTTATCTGTATTTTTACTATATTCTTCTTATTCGTTTATTTATATTTCAAATTACTTATACATATATTAATATATAAAATAGGGTAAACTACACAATGAATACATCAACTATCACTTGTGTTCTGTTCGGCCATTCAACTATTTTTTTAAATCATACTTAAAATTTAGTTTTGATTTCATTTTGGCTACTCATCGTTAAAAATCAACGACGATGTTGATGTGTCACCATAAGATAATGTCACATAGTCATTATAAAAAGTAAAAAAAAAAATCATATTAGTAATTTTGTTAATTTTTAATGGTGGGTGACAAAAATAAAACTAAAATTTAACAATATATATGATTTTTAAAAATAGTTAAGTGAATTAAAACTAAATAAAAGTGATAGTTGAAATACTAAACATGTAATTTACCCATAAAATATGCCACTTTTTTAGGTCGCAAATAATTAACAAGCGAAAAATATACAATACAATGTACATTACTTTTGACCATAAAAATCATGAAGTACCTAAATGAAAAGATATATAAAGTTTGGGTTCAATTTTGCATATAACACAAAAGCATATAAGATCAAATATGATTGATTGTGTGGGTAATTGGGAAATGATCACGTGCGGTAATCTTAATATATGACTAAAAAAGGTGCTATCGATTTTTTATTATTTAAATAATAAAATTAGTAAAAAATTACAAAAAATATTATTATTTCTACAGATTTGTTATTATTATGTATTTACCAAAAATATTAAAAAATATTAATATTTTAAGTAGAACTAATAATATTTTAAATAATCTTTTTATCAATTTTATTATTTAAATAATAATAAAATTAATAATATTTTTTTAAATTATATATTAAAGGTGTTGTACGTAAAACTTTCATCGGTCATTAAAAAAAAGCTTAAATTTGGTTTTTGAGGCCCTCGGTGCATGTGACAAATGGCCCTCCTAGAAATGATTGTTTCATAAAGTCAAGTCAGAAGAATACTTTAATAAAAACTGGGGTAAATTACATATTTAGTATTTAAATCATTAGTTTTTATTTCATTTTAATACTATAGTTAAAAACTTTAGTTTTTGTTTCTTTTAGTACCCTTGTTAGAAATTTAAAGTTAAGTTTGAAAAAATTCAAAGTTTAGGTACTAAAATGGATCAAAATTAATAGTTTAGGTATTAAATGTATTAGGTTTTTAACAGTGGGGTGCTAAAATGGAATGAAAACTAAACATTATGTATGTTTTTAAAAATATTAAAAGCTTAGGCACTAAAATAGATTAAAACTGATAGTTTGGGTACTAAATGTATAGTTACCCTAGTTTTAATCACATTAGCATGCAATTAATAATATTTTTTTGAAGAAAAAAATATTATGTTTAAAATTTTTATTTTAATTTATTTTAATTTAAATCATATATTGTAGATTTTATTTAAAATCATTTTAATCTAAAATTCAAACATATTTCGATTGTTTGTACTTTACTGTGATGAATTTCAATCATAATTATACATTGATTAATCCATGGATAAGTCATAAGGATGGGTGAGGGTAGTAGTCATCTCTAAAAATTTAAAATTATTATACTTTTTTATTTTATTTTTTTAAATATTTTTATTAAAAATTATTTGTATCTCTCTAAAATTTCTAAATTTATCCTCTTTAAAAAAATCTAAAAATTCATCCATAATATAAAATCATATGCATGTGCTTAATTATTTTTATAATTATTGTAGTTACATAATTAGACAGGAAAATGGATAAATTTTTTATTTATGATGCATCGCATGCATGACACGTGCCGTGGATTTTATGTCATTAATAATAATAAAACTTTAATTTATGTAATAAGACAATTAAATATAAATCAACATACCTAAGTGGTTAAAAGAATCGTTATTCTTCTTATAAGTCACGAGTTCGAGCACCAACAGATGTAGTATGGTGATTGAGAATATTTAGAACAGATACTATTTTGTAAGTATCTTAAATTAATTAAAAAAAGATAATTAAGAATCGCTTAAAGATTAATATTATGAATTAATTTTTGAGCTTTTAGTTTAAGGTAAGCGTGCCAAACTTAAGCATATTTCATTTAATTACAAGTACACGTTTACTTTATATTGTATAATAAATTAATTTTTAAATTGTGGTTTTTAATAATTTAAAAATATTATTTGTTTTAAATATTTACAGATAAAATTATATTCAAGTTCGTTTGTTTATATTTGAAAATATTCATGTTTGGTTCATTTTTATTCAAACTTTTAATATCATATTTTTTCGTTTATTTATTTTTAAAGGTGTTCATATTCGGTTCATTTAGTGTTTGTGAACATTTTTATTTAACGTTTGTAAACAAATTTGTTTATATGTTTGTCAACATATTCATTCGTCCATTTTATTCGCAAGCCAAAAGACGGTGAGATTACACCACTAGTCTTTAAACTCTTTAAGTTTCACAATTTAAACTTCAAAGTTTACATTGTGATCAAATTAATCCATACACACCAATATATATATATATATATATATAAAGGAGAGTCGGGTAAATAAATTAATAAACGAACAAGCCATAAACGAGCTTTCGAATCAGTTTATTCGTGAACATTAACAAACCGAACATTAACAGCAACATGTCCGTGCAAGACTGCAAAGTAAACAAAGTCTGAAACAGGTTGAAGAAAATGGTA